ATAATAATAATAATATAATAATAATAATAATATAATAAATAATAATAATGATAATAATAATAATAATAATGATAATAATAATAATAGTAATAATAATAATAACAATAGTAATAAAATGATAATGATTATGGCATTCATAATGAAAATAATATCGATAATGATCATTATAATGACAATAACAACAATAATAACAAAAGCATTGACGACTATAATGAAAATTATAAAACCACATAAACAGAAATATGAAAAATGAGCCAAAATCCAAAGAAGAAAGAGTCTGACGCTCCTTTTAAGACAATATGAAATACATTGCGCTCAGGATATCACACACTCGGAAAGCAAAGCACTTTCTGGGTGCCAGAGGGGGGGGGGAAGGGATTGCCTGACCCTCTTTCAAGTGCTTGCAGGATCGGAATGGAGTTTTAAACGCAATTCGGCGCTCTCTCGTGACCCCTCCAAGCGCTAAAATTGCTTGCGTGCTTGTCCCTTCTCTTGTTTTTTTCATTTCATATTTCCGGCTTGGGTGAGGAAAGGTTATAACTTGCCCGTTATGTTTCTCTTTTTTTTTTTTTTTTATCTGGTTGTCTATTTATTCTTTATTTTTTTCATTTGATTTTTTTATGATTTAGATATCAACATGTTTTTTTTTTTTTTTTTTTTTTTTTTTTTTTTTTTTTTTTTTTTTTTAATCGCTCTCTCAACTAACAAAGATATTTTGTGTGTTATTTCTTCCTAAACAATCAACAAAAGAGCGATATCAGCTGTTAATGTTTGTTCATTGCTCAAAGACAACAGCAAAAATAACAATATATTTCTCCGTCCAAACAGCAACAGAGAAAAAAAAAAAAATATTTCCCGCCCCTTAATACGACGAACGCTCGCCTACAACGCGTCCGATTCCTTGGCCCAACAAAACTCGTCCGAAACCGCGGAGCTTGTCTCAAATCCTGGTTAAATGTGCAAAGTTTGGGTACGCGGAAGACTCTGAGACAAAGGAGACTTATCTTTCTTATCTGATCAGCTCCTTAGATAACGGAGCCCTTTCAGCGCGTCGCGGGTAATAGCGAAAGGGCTTGTTGAAGTGGATAGTTGTTGTGGTTTTAGTTGATTGGCCAAGTTGATTCTTCCAGCGGAGGACGAACGCTGCCAAAGACGATGGGAGTGAGGGATGTGCGTATGTGTGTGTATATATATATATATATATATATATATATATATATATATATATATATATATATATATATATATATATATATATATGTATGTATGTATGTATGTATGTATGTATGTATGTATTATGTATTTTTCATGAATGTAAGTATGGATGTACGTGTATACATATGTATATCTATCTATCTATCTATCTATATCTATCTATCTATCTATATATATGTAAATATATAGGTGAGTGTGTGTGTGTGTGCGTGTGTGCGTGTGTATGTGCGTGTGTGCATGTGCGTGTGTGCGTGGCGTGTGTGTGTGTGTGTGTGTGTGTGGTGTGTGTGTGTGTGTGTGTGTGTGGTGTGTGTGAGTGTGTGTGTGTGTGTGTGTGTGTGTGTGTGCGTGTGTCTGTGTGTGTGTGTGTACAAGAGAGATAAAGAGAGCAGATTAAGAGAGAAAAGGGAATGAGAAAGAAAGAGGAAAAAGCGAGCGAGTTAATGATTTTGAGAATAATGATAGCAATGATAATGACAATAATAATAATGATAATAATAATAATAATAATAATAATAATAATAATAATAATGATGATGATGATGATAATAGCAACAGTAAAAGATTCCAATAAACCTGGAAAAGAAAACGGTTCTCTACATTCCCGTTTCCCCTCGATGGCGAAATGGCCAACCAGGAAACGAGCAAATTAGGCATAGGATTTTCCCTGACATTCAAGTAACTATTTCCTCTCCATTTAGTCATCTATTTAGTAATGAGCTACTGCAACAGGGACTGACAGGCCTACAGAAACTGGCTAATCAAGAACCTGTTTATTACTTGGCACGATTTCTCCTTTTATATATATATATATGATTTCCTACTTTAGCCACTCCCTTCCCAGGATATAGTCAGAGTCATTTTTTCTTTTTCTATTTGTTTTTTTTTCTATTTATTTTTCTTTCTGTTATTGCTTTATTAGCTATATACGTCCGCATCTTCCTACACCCATATATACAGTCTCTCTCTCTCTCTCTCTCTCTCTCTCTCTCTCTCTCTCTCTCTCTCTCTCTCTCTCTCTCTCTCTCTCTCTCACTCCTTCTCATTCTCTCTCTCTCTCTCTCTCTCTCTCTCTCTCTCTCTCTCTCTCTCTCTCTCTCTCTCTCTCTCTCTCTCTCTCTCTCTCTCTCTCTCTCTCTCTCTCTCTCTCTTCTCTCTCTCTCTCTCTCTCTCTGTCTCTCTCTCCTCTCACTCTCACTCTCACTCTCACTCTCACTCTCACTCTCACTCTCACTCTCTCTCTCTCTCTCTCTCTCTCTCTCTCTCTCTCTCTCTCTCTCTCTCTCTCGCTCTCTCTCTCTCTCTCTCTCTCTCGCTCTCTCACACACACACAAACACACACACACACACACACACACACACACATACACACTCACTCTCACTCTCACTCTCTTTCACTCTCACTCACTCTCTCTCTCAAAAGAAAATGCAACAGACTCGAGAGGTGCCTGATAGGTGCCTCTCTCAGAGCGCCTGGGACCTCCTTCTAAGTCGAGAGCTGAAATGGCCAACCCCCTCGACGTAAAATTTCGTTGAGATAGATTTTTTTCTTTTAAGATTATTTGGATCTTATTTGGTGTATATCATTTCGTTACTAGTTTAGGTTTAAAATCGTTTTTTATATTGGTTCTTATTTTTAAGAGAAATATACTCGATGTTTGTTTTTTATTTTTATTTTTTTTATTTTTGCCTTTTTTCGGGTTTTTTCCGTTTTTTTAGACCCAATTTACTTCGTCTCCTCTCCCCTTTATCTCATCCTTCGTCTTCCTCTTTTCGGCTTCCACATTTCTCTTTCACGACAACTTTAACTACTTTTCCCTTCCTTTTTCCCATAGCCACCCCCCACCACCTCCTCCCTACTCCTATTTCCTTGTCCCCTTCCCCTTCCCTCCTTCTCTCTCACATAACCAACCCACCACCAACCTCCCCCTACCCTTTCCCTTTCTCCCTGTCTCCCTTTTCCCTGCCCCCTTCCTCCTCCCTCTCCTCCCTCCCTTCCCTCCCTCCTCCCTCCCTCCCTCCCTCCCTCCCTCCCTCCCTCCCTCCCTCCCCCTCTCCCTCCCTCCCTCCCTCCCTCCCTCCTCCCATAACCACCATCACCCTCCTACCATCCCTATCCCCACTTTCCTCTCCCCCTATCCTCCTCCTCCTCCTCCTCCTCCTCCTCCTCCTCCTCCTCCTCCTCCTCCTCCTCCTCCTCCTCCTCCTCCTCCTCCTCCTCCTCCTCCTCCTCCTCCTCCTCTCTCCTCCTCTCCTCCTCCTCCCTCCTCCTCCTCCTCCTCCTACTCCTCCTCCTACTCCTCCTCCTACTCCTCTCCTCCTCCTACTCCTACTCCTCCTCCTACTCCTCCTCCTACTCCTCCTCCTACTCCTCCTCCTCCTACTCCACTCCCCCTCCTACCTCCACCACCACCCACCACTACCTTCCCCCCGAAAGTCCCGTCCTCCCTATCGCCCTTTCCCCCCTCCCCTCTCCCTGCTCCCCAATTCCATTCCCTCCCTCTTCGGAAGACATATTGTCCGTCGCATCGTTTCGTCTTGGCCCTGTCTCGTGTCCCCCCTTCCCCTTCGCTGCGCATACCAAGGGCGTCGCGGGAGGAAGGGAAGGGAGTCTGTTATTGCCTCGGCGGAACAAGAGAAGCTGCGAGACGTGTTCATCGTATGTCTTCAGGCGGCAGCTTTAAAACTCAAGGGGTTAGGTGACGGAGAAGAACAGGAGGAGGAGGAGGAGGAGGAAGGGGAGGGGGAGGATGAAGGAGGAAGAGGATTAAATAGCAAGAGGGAGTAAGATGGTGAAGAGGGAGGAAGATGAAGAAGAAGGAAGAGGGAGAGGAAGATGTATAAGGGGGAAGAGAAAGAAGGCATTTGAAAAAACTGGAAGATAGGAGAAGAGTAAAAAGGAATAGAAGGATAGAAAAAATAGATGAAAAGAAAGAGAAAGAAGAAGAGAAAATGTAATGGAGAATAAGAAAAGGATGTATGAAAAAGAAAAACAAGATAGAAAGATGCATATTTCTTTAAAAATCCCTAAAAAGTGTGTATGTGATTATCCGTGAGTGTATATATATCCACCTTCCTCTTTTATGCTTTGTCTCCTAACTCTAAAGCGTACTTTCTCTCCTCACGCCCCAGGGGAAGGATACAAGGCGGCGGGGACATCAACACCGCCCTGGGCCTCCTGCCGGACAAACTCAAGACGGAGCTGGCCCTTCACGTCAACCTCCTCACACTCAAGAAGGTAAAGTTTGAGTCTCTGCTGCCTCGCGAACAGGCTGTCCAGGCTGCTAATGTATGCTTCTCTATATCCTTCTATCTGTGTGTCTCTTGCTGTATTTGTTTGTCTTTGTCTTTTTTTCTGCTGTATGTATGTAGCTATACCAGTTTGCGTATGTATTTATGTTGATATGCATGTTTATTATTTATCTATTCAGTTTCTGTCCGTCTGTACGTCTATCATTCCATCTTTCTATCTACCTATTTATCTACCTACTTCAGTAAATTAATATAAATCAATGAATATAAGCACACAAACAGACAACAGAGTTCGTACAGAGACAAATTCATTTAAACAACGCAAAACCTAAATGAAGAAATATATAAATAACGCCATGCCTCCTGTGACCCGACGCCTTTCCTGCCAATCAATACTTGGTCAGTGGCCAAGGAGTACTGCCGATGCCTTGGCGGCGTCTGGGGATCCCCCGCGACGCAGACGGAGCCCCGGGAGATTTGCTGGGGGCGCCGGGGTCGTTTGTACGCGAGGCCGCCGCTCTTGATTGCTGGGG